CGAGTGGATAATTATGTGCAAGAGCATAGTGGGTTTGATCAAGATTACTCTTATAATGAACAAGTGGAGGAGGTGCAATATGTGAACAACTTTTAAGGGAAAAGAAACAACTTCAAAGTTCCGAATAAACAACAATGGTGACCTCAAAGCAATCAAGGTAATTGGAACTCTAACAACCAAGGTAATTGGAGTGGTGACAACAATCAAGGAAATTGGCATAACAACAACAATCAAGGAAATTGGAGTGGTGGCAATAATCAAGGAAATTGGGGAGGTAAAAATCAAGGGGGATGGAATAATAATCAAGGCAACTGGGGGTTGGGATTTCAAAGGCCCCCAATGTATCAACAACTGAGAAACCCGCCTCCTTATCCTTTCTATGGTCTAAGTTCTTCCAATAATGAAATGGGGTGTATTGAGAATATGTTCAAACAAATGATGGAAAAGAATGCCGATTCAGATGCCCAACTTGCCTAATACAACACTTCAATCCACAATTTAGAAGCCCAAATGGGGCAAATATCTCAAGCTCTAAATACTCGTCCTAAAGGGCACTACCAAGTGATACAGTGGTGAGCAAAGACAACTTGTGGATGAATAGAAAGTGGTACAAGAATAGGAGATCCCGAACAATGTTGAGCAATATAATGATGATGTTCAGATTGATATTGATGATAGTGTAGAAGAGACTCAAGAGGAGGTGAACCCATCTAGGGATCACATTATTGACATACCGGAAACGGTAGTTCAAAAGGCTAAGGCACCATTGCCTAAGCCTCCATCTCCATACCCTTAAAGACTTGCCAAGCAAAATGGTGAGAACCAATTCAAGAAGTTTATTCAAATGATGAAGAGTCTCTCAATCAATGTTCCATTAGTTCAAGCCTTGGACCAAAAATGCCAGGTTATGCAAAGTTCATGAAGGATCTTGTGACAAACAAGCGGTCGATGAATTTTGAAACTATCAAAGTCACTTATCAAGTGAGTGCAATTGTGCATTTAATAGCTCCCAAGTTAGAGGATCCCGACGCTTGCATGATTCCTTGTACAATTAGAAGTGCCGAGTTTGATAAAGTTCTTTGTAATCTTGGGGCAAGTATCAATTTGATGTCCTATTCGGTTTTCAAGACATTGGAAATTGGGCAACCAAGGCCCACCTCTATGAGATTGCAAATGGCCAATCGTATCATGAAGAGATCTTTGGGAGTGATTGAGGATGTTTTGGTTCGTGTTGATAAATTCATTCTTTTGGCCGATTTTGTCATTCTAGATTGTGAGGTTGATTATGAGGCACCGATTATTCTTGGAAGACCTTTCCTTGCTACGGGAAAGGATCTTTGTTATGTTGAAGACGTAGAAATTACTTTCCAGGTTGATGGCGAAAAAATGGTTTTCCATGTGTGTAAGTCCATGAGGCAACCCAATAACAATGAGGTGTGCTCTTTTGTGGACTTGGTGGCTGATCTTATTATGGATGAAACAAGTGCAGTGATCAATGTTGGTGATATGTTGGAAGTTGTCTTGCTCAACTTTGATGATGACGAGATGGATGGCTTTGTGGAATGTGTTAACTCTTTGCAAGGAATGGGGTCATATACCTATGAACCTCAAAATTTGTCCTTGTATCTTGAAAATAGGACAACTCCTCCTACAAAGCCTTCAATCGAAGAGCCTCCTATATTGGAGTTGAAGCCATTGCCTCCACATCTTCGGTATGAATTTCTTGTCCCTTCTTCTACTTTACCGGTTATTCTTTCCTCTTGTTTGACTAACGTGCAGCAGACTCTTCATCGGTGATGCTACAAAAGATGAAGAAGGCTATTGGGTGAACATTGGTAGATATTCGGGGGATAAGCCTCACATTTTGCATGCATAAAATTAACTTGGAGGAAGGTGACAAACCATCTATTGAACATCAAAGGAGACTCAATGAGGCTATGCAAGAGGTTGTCAAAAAGGAGATTATCAAGTGGTTGGATGTCGGGGTTTTCTATCCCATCTTTGATATTTCGTGGACTTCTCCGGTTCAATGTGTTCGGAATAAGGTTGGTATGACAGTGCTAACCAATAACAAGAATGAGTTGAGTTCTTGTGGAAACACCTAAATCTTTGTCGCGGTTGATTATGTGTCCAAATGGGTTGATGCCGTTGCTCTACCCAACAATGAGGAGAGATGTGTGGTGGCATCCTTGAAGAAGAATATTTTCATAAGGTTTGGTACTCCGCGGGCTATTATAAGCGATGGGGTGTCACAATTTTGCAACAAGGCTTTTGACGCCTTACTTAGCAAGTATGGTGTCACTCACAAAGTCACGACTCCCTATCATCCACATGCAAGCGGTCAAGTGGAAGTCTCCAACCAGGAGATAAAAAGTATTTTGTCCAAAACAGTGAATGCTAACCAGACGGATTGGTCCAAGAAGCTTGATGATGCATTATAGGCTTATTGAGCGGCTTACAAAACACCTATCGGAATGTCTCCATACCGGTTGGTATTCAGAAAAGCTTGGCATCTTCTGGTGGAACTTGAGCACAAAGCCATGTGGGCTTTAAAGAAGTTGAATCTTGATTGGGATATAACTGCTAATTTGAGGGTTGCACACTTGAATGAACTAGATGAGTTCCGGTACTATGATTGTGCAAGTTCGTCCTTGTAGAAAGAGAAGATGAAATATCTTTATGACAAATACATTTGGAACAAATATTTCAAGGAGGGTGATCTTGTGTTGTTATTTAACTCACGGTTGAGGATGTTTCCCGGGAAGTGATAGTTTAAATAGAGTGGCCCGTTTGAAGTTGTGGATCTTGAAGAACAAAAACAATGAGGTATTCCGAGTAAATGGTCACCAGGTGAAGCACTATTTGGGAAAACCTGGAGATGTCCACGTCGTGGCAGTTATTCATTTCACTTGATAGTATTCTGCATCGTGCTGCGACATTAAACCGGGCGCTTCTTGGGAGGCAACCCTATTTCTTTTTCTTTTCTTCATTTCTTTTGTAGTTAGGTGTGATTTTTGTGCTAACTTGAGTTGAAGTGTGTTGTAGGAAAGAGTGTGCCTTACAGAAATTATGGACAGAAAATCTGGTTAACTATTGAAAGAACTGCAGACCGCAAGTGCAATGTGCGGACCACACAATTTTGGATGCTACAACAAAAGTGCTCTGCGGCCGCACAAATGGAAGATGGAAAATGACAACTCTCTGAAGTTGGCCTGTCAGTAAAATGGTCGATTTGCGACCGTAATAGAAAATCTACGGTCCACAATAGGGATCTACGATCGCACATAAATTTCTGCGAACCGCAGACAAAATGATGGGTTAAACTAAAAAAGGTAACAAAGTGCGACCCGCAACTGGAAATTTGCGGTTCACTCACTCATTCTTCCCTTGAAAAAAAATTGATAAGTATAATAAGAGGGATAGGGCTAATTGTTACCCTTTTCCCTCTTTGAGCATACACATCACTAAAAGATTGAAATTATCTGGTGAATCATCCGCCCACACTCCTATAATGGTCCTAATTGTTGTCACAAATGCAGAAAGTCGGGACATTTCATCAAAGATTATCCTCTCCACAATCAAGACCATGACAAACACAATGCCTCTAAGATGGTTAAGAGGAACCCGGTCCCCGATAGAAAGTTCAAGAGAAGAGATGTTGCTAATAATATTGTAAAGCAAGCTCTAGATGCCTAGGGAGATTCCTCTAGTGAATCTGAGGGTGATGATGAACAGGAAGACAACTCCTTGATAAAAATGCCTTAACTATGGAACTGGGAGAAGCAGAACAATCGAGAGAAGATCTAGTAGTTGTGGTGGTAGACTTAGAGGAAACCATTGAGAGTCTAAAGAAAGAAAAAATATGCCTTAATTGAAAAAATTGCAAACATAGGACATGAGAGAGATGATCTTGTGGTTGTTGTGGTCAATCTAAAAGAGGCCATTGAGTGTGTTAGAAAGGAGAAAGAGGTTTTAACTGAGAAAGTTGCTAACATTAAGCATGAGAGAGATGACCTATTAGTGGTAGTTGTAGACCTAAAGGAAACAATTGAGGAACTAAAAAGGGAAAGTAGGCCTGGGAACACTCAAAAAGGAAAGGAAGTTACAAGTAAGGCACACCTTAAGCTTGAAAATGAGTTAAGATTAGTGAAATCTAGTTTGTGTGCCGAGCTTGAGAAAAATAAACTTCAAGAAGAACTAGGAAGAGTGAAGAGTGATCTTGAAAATTCACTTAAGTGGACCTGGTCCTCTGATGCTATCACTATCTTGTACACAAAAAATGGGGGAAACATGCAGGGAATCGGGTTCCAAAGGGAAAATACTCCCTACAACCCTCATAGCAAGTACGTTACTATACCTGAAAATTGGCTTTGCACTCACTGTGGCAATACTAGGCACTTTAAGGAAACGTGTAAGGCCAGATTCTAATCTTAACAGAAAAATAAAGTTTTTGCTGAAAAAGTAACTACTGCTAGGGAACCTGGTCCTTCACATAAAAAACATACAATGCCTGCTTGGACAAAAAGAGCCCTAATTCACCCCTTTCCTCATTACAAGGGACCTAAACTTGTTTGGATTCCTAAATCTAACCCTTGATTTACTTGTGCAGGGAACAAGAGAAGCCAACAATGGTACATGTATAGCAGCTGCTCGAAGCACATGACTGGAAGTACAAATTGATAGTTTGTATGAGTCCACCAAGTCTAAGAGTACCTAGTCCTCTACAAGTTAGAGCAGTAAGTAAATGAGGCAGAGGTTTTTTACATGGAAAAATCCCGCACAAGGGGATCAAAAAACCACGACCTACACTTGTAGGCTTTTAACTTTACTAACTTGTAATCTTATCTATTACAAGCCACTTTACAATACTTTCGATTGCAAATGATTTACTCAAATAACTTGTGGTATCTTTACCACAAGCCAATTTGTGACTATCCTAGTTATAAAGACTTTTTCTAACTTGTGGTGCTATCACCCCAAGCCACTTTGCAATTCTACAATTACAAAGACTTTTCTTTATGACTAAATCTAGTCACAACCTAAACTCAACGATTTTGAGGATTTACAAGAGGACGCCTAATCAGTATGCTTCTAAGTAAGCAATTTAGGAGATATAGTAAGTACAATAACAAGGTTACAACTCAACTAGGACAACAACAATCAATCTTTAGGAATTGGTCCATAGTGGCGTTCAACCTTGTTCTTCAAGCTTGAGAGGATGATGAGTTTTCTATTTTTGCAAAAGCTTGAATGAGAAACAGAAGCCTTTCAGTGATGTCTTTGTATGAAGCTTCATCGGGTACATCTTGATCACATCACTTCAGTTCCAGCTGTGTCCACATGACTTTGTATTGCTACATAGGAACCACAGGAGCACCAGGTCCTTGATTGGTTCCTAGCTCCTGAATCTGTAGCAGTTCATCCTTAGCTGGAATTTGTTTTAGTTTGCAGCAATCCAAGTAGGTCAGGTTTCCTATCTGTTTCTTATCAGTAAGTTTGTTAGATCATTAAAACACAAGGCAAGAGTATTTAAGATCTATCAATTTCTACCTTTTTGATGATGACAAACTTAAACAATTATAAGTTCAGAATTAAGGCATTAGAGAGCAGTGCCAAAGAGCCCCCCCGAGATGATTCCTTAATCTTTTTCAATTTATATATAAAGAACTAGTTCCCCAATGTGATTCCCCCCGAGTCCATATTAATCTTTTCCCCCCTTTTGGCATCATTAAAAAGAATAAAAGCACAAAGAAGTCCAGCCAAGCTAACTCATGCCACATATGTGCACACTAGCATGAGAAAGAATAGAACGTAATGAGAAAGTAATAGACAAAATAAAAGAGGATTTAGATTAATAATAGTTTCATATGCCCCTTCCTTTGAAAAAGGAAGAGGCAGCATTTGGACTTGATCACGGGAGCAGCAGTAGTAGTACATCCCAACTATAACGAAAAAAATAAACAACAAAAAACATCGACTAATCATCAACAGAAAAAAAGGAATACATCCAGATAACTGGTCACTGAGGGGAAACATAGGGGGCACTAGGAGGAAAAGGCTTGGATGCAGCGACAAGTGTCTGGAGAACAAGGTCTATTCGGACATTTCCCGACTTTTACTCATTGAGCAGTTCGGCTTTCAGGTTCTCAACTTGCGCCCCGAGGTCAACATTTTCTTGAGTCAAACGGATCACCTCATCATTCGACATGGGAACCGCTCGAGCTTGCTGGCCTTCCAGGATGGCATTCCTGGCCTTCAGTCGACGTATCTCCTCAGCTGCACTGTTTTGGACATTAATGAGCTGAGACACAGTTGAAGTGCTTCCTACACCCCCATACTTCTCAATACACTCATACTCTTCCAAGTTTGTCTGTGAGAATGTATGCTTACGGGTCCCTACTTTACCTGTTCCTAGCGGAACCTCAAAGTATTTGACCACTTGCGTGAGCAAGAATCCATAGGGAAGCCCGTGATTGCCATCCTTGAAATCAACCACTTTCTGCATGTGCTCAATCATTATGATTGGCAGACTTACAGGGTTGAAACCGTCCAATTGCTCCATGAAGAATAAATCAGATTTGGAAGTGATAGATCTCCTTTCTGCTCAACTCAATAAGACTTTGTTCACCAGTTCAAACAACAACTGGTAGACAGGAAGCAATGCTTTCTTATGAACCTGGTCCCCCTTCTGATTAGAGTTATCTTTCACGACTGCATTTCGGAAGTTGTATTGATAAACATCTCTCACACTAGATACCCCAACAGTAGGAACTTGCAGAATTTCCCCAAGTAATTTCATGTCAAAGACAATATCCACCCCATTTATTAAAGCATATACATGGTCAGTATCCACTAGAAAGAGACTGGCGAAGAAGCTCTAGACCTCCTCCTCATACACTTTAGGAGCGTCAATGTAGAACAAATGTGTCCATTGCTAAAACTCCACCATTTCCAGAAGCTGACGCATTCCTGCCATCTCAGAGATTGTTGGGTCAAACATGCGACCCATCAAAACCTTTTGATGCCTTAGTCTCTCAGATCCAAGGCAGACGTCACTTCTAGCTTTCTTCCCAGAACTGGGTTCTTCAACTGTTTCCCATTTGCGTTTCCTATGCTTTTCTCCACTAACTTTACCTTTCCTCTTAGACTTGACAAGAATATCTTCATCAGTCACTGCCTCCTTTGTCTTGGACTTGGAAGTAGATCCTTTTTCTATGGAGATAGACTCAACCTTTTTTGAGGACCTCCTCACAAGGGAACCAGGTTCCTCAGGAGTTCGTTCCTCCACCACAACGACAGGGATAGCTTCATTACTTACAGGGACACCATTCTTTACCAACTTTCTCCTTTTCTTTTTACTACTTTTCTTGCTCTTTTGAACTATAGAATCGTAGGCTGCTTTGACTTGAAGCCTAGTAGTAGGCCGCTTACTTTCAAACTCAGGAGTGGTGACAACCCTGTGCTAACTTAAGAATGCATCTAGGGCCACATTGTCCAGGTCTTCTTTATCACTAGACCTCATTTCTAGTGCTTGAATTTCCAGGGGCACAGTATCGAAAGCAGGTATAGCACTATCCTAGGGATGAGAGTCCTGACCTAGGTCCTCCAGAGAGGGATCAGGTTCCTCATGAGATGCCCCAGTAGTGTATACTGCTGCATCCCCTTCAACAGCCAGAAGGGTCCCTTTTACCTACACGCTTTGTGACTCTTATCTCTGAGAAACAACTTCATGCAATATGCCATCCGCGGATACGACAAACACAGTCTTTTCTTCCTCAACAGGTGCTTCCATGACCATGGAGTTGACGGTAATGATGGCGGAGCCTTTTGTGAAGTCAGTATTTTCACCTTGTTTTCTAATTAGGGTTTTACTGGTGTGGGCATCCGATGACATTGAGGACGGAACAATGGTTTCAGGAGTTTTAGAGTAGGGAGAAGGTTGGGAAACTAGGGAATGTGTGATTTTAGAAGTGGAGGTGATAGAGGGTGACACAGACTCAGTGAAGGGGAGAGGTTCCATGGATGGGTTGGAGGTTTTCTCAGCCATTAGAAGAGGAGGTGTGATGATCCTTCCTTTTTGGTGAATCTAGAATAGGTCTTATGGTTAGGAAGAGCAGACAAGACGATTTTTAAACGGAGAGGAAAATTATAAAGGGAGAAGAATAGGTACCGGTTCTGTAACGGCAGTTGGGCGTAGAGAATCGTGACGTTTCAGAGGGAGATAGAATGTTTTGAATTGAAGAGACGTGACAACCAAATCTGAAAGTTTATGACATGGAAGTTGTATTTTGTGCCTTTTAAGACGTGTATTTAAAGGATGTACAGAACTACTAACCTTTAGTACAAGAACCTGGTTCTTGAGAAACATTTTCTTCAAGCCCTCCTTCCCCCTTTTTTTGAAAAGAATTAATCCTCTTTTATCAGTCATGTACTGCATCTACTGCTTCTATGCTCATCATGCACGTTTACCTGCAACGGTATTGAAGTGAGTTAGGAGGGGCCATAAAACACTTTGAACCTATTATTTCTTAATAACTCTAGCCAACTCAAAAAGGGATCAGGTTCTTAGTTTAGCCTCAACAGTCCCAACTTTACTCTGTTTCTTTCGAACTGTTCCCTACTTAGTGCCTTGGTAAAAATGTCTGCAATTTGATCTTCAGTGCTGCAGAACTTCATGCATATCAACCCTTTCTCCACATTATCTCTCAGAAAATGATGCCTCACATCAATATGTTTGGTCCTTTTATGTTGGACTGGATTCTTTGCCATGTTGAGTGCACTGGTGTTGTCACATAGGAGAGGCACACTCTCAGTGAGAACTCCAAAATCCTCCAGTTGCTGTTTGATCCACAGAAGCTAAGCACAATAGGATGTTGCATCCACATATTCAGCTTCAGCTGTTGAAAGAGCCACTGAATTTTGCTTCCTTGTACCTCAAGAGATGAGACATGATCCTAAGAAGTGAGCCATCCTAGAAGTACTTTTTCTGTCCACAAGATAACCTGCATAGTCTGCATCAGCATACCCAATTAGATTAAAATTGTCACCTAATGGATAATATAGCACCAGGTCCTGCGTGCCTTTGAGATATCTCAGTATTCTTTTGGCAGCCTTCAAGTGAGATTCCTTGGGGTTTGATTGAAACCTCACACACAACCCCACGGTGAAAACAATATCAGGTCGACTGGCAGTGAGATAGAGAAGAGACCCAATGATGCCTCTATACATTGTTTGATTCACAAGTGATCATGTTTCATCCATGTTCAATCGAGTGGTAGTTGCAATGGGAGTGTCTATCACCTTTGATGCTTCCATATCAAACCTCTTCAAGAGTTCCCTGATGTATTTTTGCTGACAGATGGAAGTACCTTTTGGAGACTATTTTACTTTAAGACCCAAGAAGAAATTTAATTCCCCCATCATGCTCATTTTATATTCACTTCCCATAAGTTTTGAAAATTCTTCACATAGAGAGTTAGCTGTTGCTCCAAAGATGATATCATCAACATAGACCTGAACAATGAGCAAGTTCCTTCCTCGTTTCTTTAAGAAAAGAGTGTTGTCAATCTTCCTTCTTTTAAAGCCATTTTCTAAGAGAAATTTTGACAATCTTTCATACCACGCTCGAGGAGCCTGCTTTAGCCCATACAGGGCTTTGTCCAATTTGAACACATACTCAGGGTGCTCATGACTTTCAAACCTAGGTGGTTGCTTCACATAAACTTCTTCCTTAAGTAGTCCATTTAAGAATGCACTTTTGACATCCATTTGGAACAGAGTAAATTCCATATGAGAAGCAAAGGCGATCAGAATTCTGATATCTTCCATACGAGCCACTGGAGCAAAAGTTTCATCATAATCAATCCCTTCCTCCTGATTGTAACCTTGAACCACTAGCCTGGATTTGTTCTTTGTGGTAATTCCATGCTCATCGAGCTTATTTCTGAATACCCACCTGGTTCCTATAATGGTTCTATCCGGGGGTCTGGGTACTAGGTGCTACGCACTGTTTCTCTCAAACTAATGCAGCCCGTCTTGCATGGCTATAATCTAATCTGCATCTTTTAGAGCTTCCTTGATATTTTTGGGTTCTATCTGGGAAAGAAAAGTTGAGAAGACAAGTGAATTTCTAGCTCATGACCTGGTTTGGACTCCTGAATCTAGAGGAGTGATTATGTTGTCTATGGGGTGAGAACTTTGATGTCTCCAATTAGATGATTGGGGTTCATATTGAGAAGAAGAAGGTATGTTTGGCTGATTTTCCTCTATCCTTCTCTCAGATGCAAGTGGAGTTCCCTGAACTGCATCAACCACTCTTTCTTCAGCTTTATTGGTTGTAATTGAAGTGCTTGGTTCTGTAGATGATAAGGCAACATTGTCTTCATTTGCCTCCTTCATTTGACTCATCATATCTGCCTTTCTGTTTGTCATGTTAATGACTTCACCAGGAACAAGTAAGGGTTCTCCATCTTGATCT